GACGAAACGCAACATACTATACTTCCACTTTATGCCGGTCTTCCGTGAGGTCGTGTTACTTACCCGGACGGGCCTGCCCATTCGTGCAACAGCCGAGGCCGCTGCGTGGCCCTACCACTGTTAAAATACACCGTAAAAATACTTGAAGTCAAAAGCATATCACGCTTGCAACATACAGATCAATGCAAACACATTTCAAATAATAATAATAATAATAATCGTTTATTTGTCTAAATATACATACACTGCACAAAATATTTAAAGAGTAACATAAATAGAAAAAAAAAATAACAATTATTTAGACAAAATGGTCAAGGACTCAAGTTGTAGCACGGAAGGTACACCAGCTTTGATATTCTGTCCTAGCCAGACATAATTTACATAAAGAACACGCTTTATAATAGGTACTTACTAAAATATTGTAAATTAACTATTTATATTAATATAACTATCCAATTAATAACTATTAACTATTATATTTAAAAGACTGGGTACTCGAAGCCGAATGATCTATAGAATTGCAATCTAATTCCACCAATTGGTGTGATTTGAGTGCCTCAATTTCAGATAATACCATTGCATTTCAAATGCTTTAAAATCATGATTAATGTGTACTTTATAGACGAAGTACGTTCATCAACATTATTTAGGATCTTCTCCTGCTCGTGGCCTTGAAGTCATCTGTGATTTACCACGTCACTGATTTAAAGATCTAAGCATATATACGGACAGACAGAGAGCGGGACTACTTTTATACTATTCTACAATATTGTACCTGGTCAAATATTTTTTGATTATATGAGAGAACAATAACTGACTTGGTAACATTTTACTTTGATGATAAAACCTATCAATATAAGCTGTTGTTTTCGTAACTAAATAAATAAAGTAAAAAAATATCACAAATGGAGATTTCTCGTTCATGTTCCTGTTAATAGATTTTTAATTAATACGATTTTTTTTTGATAATTTTTATTTTACCGCCTGCACTGCAAGGTCCACTGGCACTTTAGGCGACGTCACACCTTCTTTATAATTCAACCTCCAAATGCAGAACATTTATCGTAATGTTATATTGAGTCTAACCCTCATATTTTGAAAGCAGCCACAAAAGTACGTTGTACTAAAAAGTGCTTCGAGTAAATGTAATATCAAATGTTAACACCATTTTTTAGTGTTAAAAGTTGGCAAACTGGTAACCGTTCAACTGATGTTAAGTGATTTTCGCCGCCCATGGACATGTATAACGCCTAACGGGTAGCTGATGCCTTACCAAAATTAAAGAGTTGGCCCCCTTTACCTCACTGATAAGGGGCCGTCCATTAATCACGTGAGGCTTGGTAAAAAGAGGGGTTTGGCAAAAATCGCGAAATATCACAGGGAGGGGGTTTGCCAAAAATCGCGAAATATCACAAGGAGAGGGGGGGGGGGGGTGGCAAAAACCGCGAAATATCACAAGGGGAGTAGGGCCGGGGGTTATAGTAAGACATCACATTATTTGTTCGTCAAACGAGCGATTTCTAAACCATAAGGCGGCGTGTAGCTATGGCCCTTAATTTCAGAATAAAACGAGATAGATTAAACTTTATACCTACCTGTATTTAAAGATAATATTCTAAGAATATTAAGATTCTTTTTAGGTTCCAACACACGTGATTTTGGGCGGGGCGGGGGGAGGGGGGTAGTCTTACATTATTTATCTCATCCGATTACAACGTAGGCGTCTTCAAGGCAAGAGTGAATAGGTTTTTACTGAGCTAGCGCGCTTACCATCAAAGGCTGCATCGCCACTTACCATCAGGTGGGATGGCAGTCAAATTTTTTTTTATGCGAAAAGTAGTCACACGAGCAGACGGTTCACCTGATGTTAAGTGAATAGCGCCGCCCATGGACATCTGCCACACCCAAGGGTTACAGATGCGTTGACAACCTTTGGAAAATTGGGCTCCGGCTACCTCACTCACCAGACGAAACGCGAAAGTATTTGTCATACTTCCACTTTACGCTGGTCTTTTGTGAGGTCGTGGTACTTATCCGGACGGGCCTGCCCATTCGTGCAACAGCCGAGGCTGCTGCGTGGCCCTACCACCGAAGTGCTGGCCAGATGCAAATAAAAAAAAGTCTTAAACCTCAACACGTATCACCGTGTTGAATTGAGAACCTCCGCATCTTTTGAAGTAGGTTAAAAATAGATTCCCCGCCTATCAGCGGGAAATAATGTTATTAACACGATGATAAACATCCCAATGAAACTTGCATTGCAAGAATGATATCAACATTGAGATCATTATAAGTAATACTTACAAGAGTAATTTTCCACGTCTGAGAATATAATCCAAGATTAGAAACTGGTTTGAGTGCAGATAACAAATTGAAAAAGTGCGGTGACCTCAAGAAATTCGAATTATAGCATTCAAAAGTTCCGAAATCGAGTTTACGTTTGATAGATGCAATATTTCTTCCAATATTTATTGTTTTACGCTTAATTTACGATTAAAGTATTAAAATTTTATTTCCCACTAGCTTTTCGCCCGCGACTTTGGCGTTGAAGCCCATAATTAAATATAGTTTTCCTAAAACATTTTTTTTAATTTAATTAAGTCCTTAATATCACTAAGAATATGTGTACAGTGTGGGACGACCCCCCACTAGATGGAGTGACGACCTGTGCAAATGTGCGGGAAGTCGATGGATGCAGGTGGCAGGATCGTACTTCATGGCAGTCTATGCCATGGAGGCCTATGTTCAGCGGTGGACTCAAACAGGCTGAAATGATGATGATGATGATGTGCACAAAGTTTCATGATAAGCGGTTGAGTGGTTTTGGCGTGAAAGCGTAACAAACAAACTTACATTCACAATTTTTAAATGTTAGTAATATTGACGCGGATTTTTATCAAGTGTTACTTGCGAAAGACTTATATATAGATCGGAGTATCAGATGGAGACTTGTCACCTGCACTAGAGGATGTGTGTTCGATTCTCAGGACTGAAAATAATGTAAGATGAGAACATAGTATTTTTCTTATTGTTATAAATATACCAGCTGCTGCCCGCGACTACGTCACCGTAGAATAAGCTGAAGACGTAACATTTATACAGAAAGACAGATATACATAATATGTATATAAATTATAGCCTATGTCTTATTCTGATGTATAAGCTATATTATTGTAAAGTTTCATTAAAATCCATTCAGTAGTATTTGCGTGAAAGAGTAACAAACATCCATCCATACATTACTTTCGCCTTTATAATATTAGTAAGGGTGTTATAAATAAATAAATATTTCAGACACATTTTTACACAACGTTTTCTAGGCCCAAATAAGCAACGCTTGTACTATGGGTACTAGATAACTGAGAAACATGTTTTTCTTTTCTAAATAGATACATATTATAAATATAAAAACACCCAGACACTGGAAGAAAACAATGTTCATCAGACAATATTTTTCCAGCTGTGGGGATCGAACCCACACCCTCTGCCGCAAGAGGCAGGGTCACAAACGGCTACGCCAATCGGGTACATAATTATCTACAGCTTGAAAATAAGTTTGTTACCCCAGAACTTTCGACTGATTATTTTTTAGTACCTTGAGGACCGAGCTTTGCTCGGTTTTTGTGATAAATCATGTATTTTGGAAATAAAAAAAATAAAAAATAAAGAAAATGATCTGGTATTGCAAAAAAAGTAAAAAAAAATAAGTGTGTAAATGATCGTGATAGGCACCGCGGCCGTCTGTTTTGGGGCCGCCCGATTACCGACCGTGCTATTATAATTATTTTTTTTGCGGCGAAATTACTGTCATATTCGAATGATATTTTTCATTCCTTGAAAACAGGGATAAAAGGACATTTTCTAAAAATGAAACTTATCTAGATAGATTTTTCGCCCCCGAATCTATGCACATAACTAAATTTCATGAAAATCGCTAGAGCCGTTTCCGAGTTTCCGTTTATATATATATATATACAAGAATTACTCGTTGATTTAGGGAACCCAGGAAAATCAATTATAAAATGAATACAGAAAGTCGGTTCTGTTTTTCGTTAGTAAAATGTTGACTTGTTAAGTACATTTATTACAAAGTAAATAGAGTGAAAATGCACCGCTGAGCAAAAAATTAGAATTAGAATTATAGTTGTGCCGGCAATGTGACTTCACTTGAGTATATTGTACTAGCTACTGCCCGCAACTAACTAAAGACGTCAAATTAAGACAGAAAGACAGATATAAAAATATGTTATTCTCATGTGTAAGCCATATTATTGTAAAGTTTCATTAAAATCCATTCAGTAGTATTTGCGTGAAATAGTAACAAACATCCATCCATACATACAAACTTTCGCCTTTATAATATTAGTATTGTATTAAAAACGAGCGTCCAGACATTGAGCTATCACGGTATAACATAAAAGAACTAAATATATACAACAGTGGTAGGGCTGCGCAACAATTTCGGCTCTTGCACAAATGGCCAGGTCAGTCCGAGTAAGTACCATGATGTTTCAGAAGACCGGCGTAAAGTTGAAGTGTCCACTTTATTAAAGGGTGTCATCGTATCTGCAACCCTATGGGTGTTGCAAATGTCAAGGGGCGGCGCTTATCACTTAACATTAGGAGACAATAGGAGCTCGCTTGCTACCTTCTCACATAAAAAAAAATAAAAAATAATATTATGGTGCAATTGTCCCAAGTTGATCTTGGCCAATGAAACTTAAAGGTGCGCCCTGTACCACCTTCTACCATCATAATCGGACGCAAGACAAGAGGATGAAATATACGAGGGGCGGTCAAAAAGTTCGTGGAATGAATCTCGGCGTCGGCACGTGACGACCCCATCGCCCGCTGGACGATTATCTTATTCCACCAGTGCAATCAGTGAACCCAACTAGTGGTGGTGCCATGCTCCGCACCTTCGGGTAGCAGCCGAATTGGGCCGGCACGCCCGATTAAGAACAACTCTCTCACTGTAAACCGGCGTCAAGTGGCAGCTATACTGTCGCGTTTCGTTTGGTCTGTGAGTCCCGGACGCCCTCTCCCCATTGAGGAATGGGGAGAGGGCGTCTGGGGGGAGGCCCCATAATCTCATATTTTTCCATCCCAGGAGGGTACCACCAGCGTACAGCGAGGCCCTGTCTGAACACGTCAACACGCAGGCCGTACACCACCTGAGCGTGGATGCCGCATTTTGTACTCTCTACACCTGCTCGGGGCAAATGGAGCAGGCAACATACGGCCACCCCTTCATCGCATGCTGTGGACTTCTGCAACATAAGGGGGCTAAATTCCAATTTAAACGCCGTCTACTTCCATCTTGAGACGGCGAAGCCGGCCTTGTTCTTCCTTACCGAGACGCAGATATCTCCTCCAGCTGAAACAGACCGACTCTTTGAGCACGTACAAATGACTACATATTCCGTGTTGCAGCAGATGTCATCCGCGGAGATTTTAATTCTCGGCGATTTTAACGCTCATCACGCCGAGTGGCTTAGATCTCGTACCACCGACTACGCGGGGAGATCTGGTCACGATTTCGCATTAGTATAATAACATCTGACACAACAAGCAAGTCGCAGCCTTTTTTGGTCGCTCCTGTAAGTTGGCATTATGCCGACAGCGGGAATGTTACCAGGCTTGGGCTGACGCTTCGACGTCAAATGATGTAAAAACCAGCGTTTTAAAAAAGAAGTATAACTCTGCCTCTAGGTCCTTCGAATGAGTTATTGCTGGAGCGAAATCGGAATTTTGGCAGCCCAACACATTGGCAGAATTGGCGAGAGATTGGGGCGTCTCCCGACGGGAACACGTGCGTTTTGGTCTCTCGCCAAACCTGTCTTGGGAAATTTCTTCGGAGGATGACTCGCTGGCCCATGCCGCGAAGGAGAAAGCCGATCTTCTGAGCTCCCTCTTCGCGTCCAACTCGACTTTGGATGACCGAAGAAAATTACCACCGACAATCCCGCGTTGCGATGCTACGATGCCGAAGGTTCAATTTCGGCAAAGTGCAGTTCGCAGAGCACTCTTTTCCTTGGACATTCATAAGTCGAGTGGGTTCGAAGGCATCCCTCCGATCGTGTTGAAGACATGTGCTCCGGAGTTGACACCGGTTTTGACTCGCCTTTTCCGGCTCTCTTATACTCTAGGCGTAGACCCGAAATCCTGGAAGGCCGCTTTAATGCAACCGATCCTTAAGAAAGGCAACAGCTCGGATCTGTCCAACTACAGGTCAATAGCCATCACCTCCTTTTTCTCCAAGTAATGGAGTTCATCATTAACTGCCAGTTCCTACGGTACCTAGAGAAACACCAGCTGATTAGCGACCGCCAGTATGGCTTTCGTCGAGGTCGCTCAGCCGGTGATCTTCTAGTTCACCTGACATGCAGATGGGCAGAAGCAGTTGAGAGCAAGGGGGAGGTGCTTGCAGCCAGTCTGGACATAGCGAAAGCCTTTGATCGGGTATGGCACAAAGCACTTCTTTCGAAGCTGCCTTCCTATGGGCTTCCCGAGAAGTTATTCAACTGGATCACCAGCTTTTGGCAGATCGGAGCATCAAGGTCATACTCTGATCCTAAATTTGTCAATGCTGGTGTTCCACAAGGCTGCGTACTGTGTCCCACTCTATTTCTTCTGAATATCAATGATATGACGCAAATCAGCAACGTTCATTGCTATGCAGATGATAGCACTGCGGATATCTCGTACACTGGCCGTGCTAACATTTCTCGGGAAAATGTCTACGAGAGCCGGAACAAGCTTGTGTCTGAAGTCGAGACTTTGTTAACAAAAGTCTTAGACTGGGCTCGACTAAACTTAGTCCAATTCAATCCCAATGAGACACAAGTTTGCGCGTTAACCGCTAAAAAGTCCCCATTTGTCGTGACATCTCATTTGAAAACACTTCCCTGGTGGTCAATTGGAAAGTAAGGCCAAATTGGCCTCAAAGAAGCTCGGTGTGCTCAGTGTTCCGTGGAATTGTTTGGATTGATCCCGGCGGCTGAATTTCACTATCGGACATCGCGACAAAACCAAAAATTTCATTCACACCACCTCGATGTCAAGCGTTCCACAACAGCGCGATTTTCAAGCCATTTCCTGCCTCGCACAACCACTGTGTGGACCACCAGTTGCGGCTGGCGGTCTTTCCGAACCGTTACGACCTGGGAACCTTCAACAAGAGAGCATACTCTTTCCTAAAAGGCCGGCAACGCATTTGTAAGTTCTCTGGTGTTGCAAGTAGAGAGTGTTTTTGAACATGTTGTGTTCGCTCGAATAGAAGGACATTCACTTGCGTTTTAAGTTCCGTATCATCTGTATCTGTCTGCTTTTTCTGTAATGTGATCGTAATGTCCAGTTTGCGATGCTAAATATATAAAAAATAAACAGTACAGAAAATTAAGCTTCGCGCTCACCATTGAAATTTGTAGCAAAAGTACGAAAAGAATTGCTTCAAATGCTATAAAAAACGTAGATCAAAGACGTTAAGATTTTTGTCGGCATGGCAATCAGCCGTTTAGCTTAGTAGCTAAAGCGCCAGGCTGCGAATGCCGAAGACGTGGGTTCGATTCTCACAGCGGCGACAATCTTTTCGTACTTTTTCTAAAAATTTTAAATATTAAAATTTGTACAAAAAGTAAGTTTAATGATTAAAAAAAGTAATTCATTTTGTTTCTATTGCTCATTTTTAAAAATACCAAATTTGTCCGTCGACGAAATGTTGGCAGCCCTAGGTTTATCCCAATAAATGCATTTACATCTGCATATATTTCGTACATGTAATTATAAACGCTTATTGCACAACTCTTTCATCACTTCCACGTCAAATGTATCTTTAAAAAAAGCAGTCTACAATTTTTGACAGTAAAATGAATAATAAATCGTAATTATCTATTCATAAAATGATATGAGGGATTGGAATTGAATATGGATTAAAATCTACAATTCTTGACAATAAAATTAATATAATCGATACTAATTTTACGGATTTATCGCGTTTATTTTTTTTAATTTTTAATTTTAAATTAAAAGTCCGTCCCGTGACCATGAACGCTGTGAAGGGCTCGAAACGTCGGGAATTAAAATTAAAAATAAACGCGATAAATCGATAAAGATTATTTAAATTCGATAAGATCAACTTAAGTACAGAGATTAAAGGCCCATTTACACGGTGCCAGTTTCTTGCCCGTTGTATACAATTAAATTGAAGCAATAAATGAGTTGCATGGTCTAAACAACAAAGGGTCTAAACAATTATTGCGCGCAATTTATTGCATTCAATTATTGCTCTGGTATGTACAAGAAAATGGCATCGTGTAAATGGGCCTAACACTTTTAAAAAAAATTGCCTCACTAATCATTGACTAACGGGGATTCCTGCACTGAGAAAAACCATGATTTACAAAAGTTATGCCCTATTCAGGCAAGGCAGAGAGTCTACTTCAGGCGATGACCATTCAGATTTGACGATTAAACCCGCTATTTTTTATGTGAGGAAGATCTTGTGATGACCGCCGCCCACGGACATTTGCAACACCCGTGGGGTTGCAGACGCGTCGACATCTCTTAATAAAGTGCGCCCCGGCTACCACACACACCAGACGAAACGCAGAAATTGAACACTTCCACTTAACTCCGGTCTTCTGTGAGGTCGTGGGACTCACTCGGACGGCCTAAAGGTGACCATCCGTGCAACAGCCGAGACTGTTGCGTGGCCCTACCTAGTGGAAAAGATTGCTTTTGAAGGTCCTAATTGTAGCAGAAACATTCTTCATGATCATCTTGGCGTGCCAAAGCTATCGCAAGATCAAGGACACAAGAAGGGGCAAATAGACTCTACAATTCACTAGAGCCACGTTACGATGGCTGCGTTCCTGAAAATCAAAAAAGAAATTCGTGGGAAAAAGTTTACCGCCGATGAAGACGTGAAGCCGCCGATTTCGGCCTATTTTGAATGCATCGACAAAACAGTTTTTTTGGATCGTTTAAAAAAAACATTTGAGAGATCAAAAACCTGTTTTAAGGGACGCTAATATTGAAAAGGAAAAATATACATGCGTTTAAGTTCATTTCTTTTTTCTTTTATGTTAAAAGTTGCAAAGCGAGCCGGCGGTTCACCTCATGTTAAGTGAATGCCGCCGCCCATGGACATGTGCTACACCCGTGGGTTACAGGTGCGTTGACAACCTTTTGAAAATTGGGCTCCGGCTCCCTCACTCAACAGACAAACGCGAAAGTATTTAAAACATGTAGAAAAAGTACGAAAAGATTGTCGCCGCTGTGGGAATCGAACCCACGTCTTCGGCATTCGCGGCCTGACGCTCTAGCCTCTGAGCTAAACTGCTGATAGCCACAGCGACGAAAATCTTAACACCTTCCTTCTACATTGTTATTTAGCATTTGAAGCAATGCTTGGCGCATCTATTGTTATATCCTTTCCAGCATACAAAGAATTTCGAATATCATTTTACAACGATAATTCCAACAACGAGAGATGTCGCCATTGCTTTTTATAAATTTTTGTTTATTAATTATTTATTAATTATTGTTCAATCTTAAGTGCAGATATTAGCATTATAAAAAACTTTTCAAAAATTTATAAAAAGCGAAAGTATTTGTTATACTTCCACTTTACGCCGGTCTTCTGTGAGGTCGTGGTACTTACCCGGACGAGCCTGCCCATTCGTACAACAGCCGAGGCCGCTGCGTGGCCATACCGCAGTTAGTTCATTTTCTCACCTTGTAATTCCGCGAGCTTTTTGACCGCGCCTTTTTATCATACATTAGAATCCTAAATAGATTTCATTTTTGTTATTAATGTTTGCCCTTTCAGTCTTTAGTGAAGTTGTTAATCGAAGAAGAAAAATTGTTAATCGCATCATCACACGTGAATATTTATTTATATTATTTATTACATATTATTATTTAATTCTAAATCTATTTATTATTTATTACACTTTCGCACACAACTATCATTACAGGCTGACCCAATGGTGGCAACACTATGCCAAAAATTTTAAAATAGTCGAAACAAAATATAAAAAAATAAAAGCTAACAATTCCATAAAACCAATAATTCCATAAACCAAAAATAAGGATGTAATACACAAATAAAAAAAATCATACTTGTAATTTTATGTGTAACATATCACGTAATGGGATACTATTGAATTATTTCTGTGGCATGAAAACAGGTCGGCAACCTCATTTAGATTGAGGGAGATGAGAAATGAGAGATTGAATGTTATGACAGGAAACTTTTGGTTCGTCAGGAATCTTGACCTTTTTACACTAACAACATCTTCATACCTCTTCTTAGATCTTCATTCCCTAAAAAGTATGTCAGTGCATTTAACATTCATTTAGTAAATTAACAGAATAGACTGCTAAGGAAAGTAAAGCCAAGGAAAACTGCCAAGTTGGCAAGATTTTAATGCATTGAATTCACGGGCAGAATTTGACATTTTTTTTGCAAGCTTAACAAACATTTACGACTTATCTGCATAGAAATTAGTTTTAACGTCTAATTCTGTTGCATAGAACACTTCTTATATTCGGACTTATCATTGATTTTTTGTTACTAAACATATCATTATTATTATAAACCATCCGTGATAGCTCAGTTTCCGGGCGCTCGCCTTTAATTCAATATACTCGAGCAACCTGAGTTCGGTCCCCGGTGCCGGCACCAATGATGTTTTTAACTTTAAGTGCTGACTTATCACGTGCTCCACGGTGAAGGAAAACATCGTGAGGAAACCTGCATATTTTCGAAATAATAACAAAAAAAAAATATATTTCGAAAATATGTGAAGTCCGCCAATCCGCAGTGGGGCCGCGTGGTGGACTATGCCCTGATATCCTCTGTATAGAGGAGACCTTTGCCCAGCAGTGTCCAGTGACATGTATAGGCCGTTACTTTTGTACTTGCTAAATCGCGTACCAGGTCTTGAAAGTACTTCCACCTTCTCATACCAGGTACAGAAACCAGGTATCAAAATACTTTCAAAGTATTTTCTGCCCAACGCAACGAGCCGAATACTTGTTTCCTTGCAAATTTAAACCTTGTTGTTATACAAATAATATTCAAAATATATCCAATCAAGACGTAAAATACTTTGAAGTATAAGGACAATCTAATTCTGAACCTTATATATATGCACATAAATTATCTAATCAAGTGAGAGAGACACACCAGGCGAGACCGATATACATTGCTTCACCAAGGCACGACGCACGCTCGATACGTTCGACGTTCGAGTTTGATCGACGTAATACTTACTTTGAAGGGCTCGTATACTTTAATCGAAAAATACTTTCAAGTCTTCCAAGTATCGGGACTTGGTTGGTTTACTTGCAAGGAAATACCTGGTATCAATATCTGGTAACGTAAATGCGCACCATCTCTAATCTGCAATACTCGTGGGGTTGCAAATGCGTTGCCACCTTTAAATAAATTGGGCCCCGGCTACCACACTCGCCAGACGAAACGCAGAAGTGCAACACTTCTGCTTTACGCCGGTCTTCTGTGAGGTGGTGGTACTTACCCGGACGGACCTGCCCATTCGTGCAACAGCTAACACTTGCGTGGCCCTACCGCAGTAACTACCCCGTTAGGGGCAAGGCCTTGCAGAAGACCGGCGTGTATTGGAAGTACATACATGTGTTGATAAATGAGGTAACCGGGTCCCACGCTCTCGCCTGGCGATGGAACTGCGGTTCCATCGGTGCACCACAACCACACGCAAGTGTGCAACTGCTGTCCTTCTTCATCCTCATAGTAAACGGCCGACAAATACCATCTCGTCGTATGTGGTACACTTTTAATTGAGGACCCACGGTCAACGAATTCAAATCCTGATACGAAACCAATGCAAAACGTAAAGGGAAATATCCTGAAGATACAGCCTTTTCAACCGACTTCAAAAGGAGGAAGTTTCTCAATTCGACTGTATTTTTTTATGTTTGTTACCTCATAACTTTTATGCTATTCATATATATTATATATCTATTTATGTATGTTTATTATAATTTCTTTTTATTTTATTATATTTAAGTCTATTTTGGTATTAAGCAAGTTTATTGAGCACACCACCTCCCACTATTCATTAGTTTATTTTTCCTCGTCCTAAGGTTGTCTGGAAGAGATCGCTTTTTAGCGATAAGACAGCCTTATTGTACCTAGCTTTTAAGACTTATTTTATACCAATTGTATCAAATTCTTTGTGGTGTACAATAAAGTATATAATAATAACTAATGCAGAAAGCGGTGCTCCTCGATACCGCCCGCATCGTCCGCCGGTTTCGCTCCCTTTCACCCTAACCCTCGGCCGTTTGGTCTCCCCTGCCGAGGGCTTCCGTTTAATATTTATTTTATATATGCAATCTATATCTATATGTTTATTTTTTATCTATAAACCCAACCAGACGAGAAAACAAAGAAATATCCCCCAAAAAAAATAATAATAACTTTCGACCGATTTTAATGATTCTTTATTTATTTTAAAGCTGGCGCTTCCCATGTCCCATATGAATTTCATTTGCATAGGATTTTGTGTTTCGTTGATACAAAGGTAACTCTAAATTCAATTACAAAATGAATACAGAGCGAGATTTGAAGTCGGTTTTATTTCGCGTTATAAAATGGGCTTGTTAACGTCTTGAATGAAATTAAGGACAAGCTAATGGGGCAAACAAGTCCACTTTTATTTTCAAATTTTCAAATTCTTAAGCATCTCCGGAGCCCCGGATCCGATACCAATGAAATTAATGCGGGACCACGTGGGCAGCACCAGATTTCAAATAAAAAAGAATCATTAAAATCGGCTCACAAAGTCGAAAGTTCTGAGTAACAACCATAAAATAATCAATCTAATTGAGAACCTCGCACTTTTTTGAAGACGGTTAAATAAGTGGGGTAGGCACAATACGCGAATCATGGTGTTAATCGTATTGGCTAGGTCTGCTTACAACTGTCAACGACAATCTCTACATTCCTTGGAAAGAAACACCCAGACCAGGAACAATTATTCCGTGAAGGAATCGAACCCACTGACAACCACTACCGCGACATTTCACCACCGTCATTTCGGCCTGTTTGAGTCCACTGCTGGAACATAGGCCTCCCCCACTGACCACCACGAAGCACGATCCTGAGCGACCTGCATCCATCGACTTCTCGCACGCTTGCACAGGTCGTCACTCCATCTAGTGGGGGGTCGGCGTACGCTGCGATGGCCAGTACGAGGTTGCCACTCAAGAATCTTTCTTCTCCAACGGGCACCGGTTCTACGGGCTGTAGGTACGTTGATTTCCAACCAAATTTACACAGCCAGCCCTGAAGTGTCCGGTTGCTAACAAAAAGAACCATTAACGATATAACACACGGTAACGATATAACACAAACGACATAACCGCCAATAACGACCGGAGCGGTATAGAATTATAGCTGGACTTAAAAAAGAGCACGCCATAAGCGCAGCGCGTTTTTGCGAACCTTAAAGATTGATCTTGAGTTAGAGGTCGATAGAGATAAAATTAAAATTCAAAATATACATATCTAGGGTTGCCAACTGCTGTATAATATACGGTGTTGACCAGTGTTGGGCGTGTTTACTGTTGAAAAAAAGTATGTGCGTACATATGTACGCACGTAAGTTTTACCGTTTTTAGCGTAACAAAAGAAAAATAACTAAATATTTTATCGTCTGTACCAGAGCTATTTGTTTGTGAAAAACACATTAGATTCAATTTATAATGGTTAAATTCAATTTATAATGGTTGAAATTACAAGTAAACTAGCGATCCGACCCCGCTTCGGTACAATGTATTATACATATACACCTTCCTCTTGAGTCACTTTAACTAATTAAAAATCCGCATCAAGATCCGTTGCGTAGGTTTGAAGATATAAGCGTACACAGGGACAGACAGACAGCGGGACGACTTTGTTTTATACTATGTAGTGATATTGTTTTCTTGATTCTACGCGAATATTATACATATTAAATAAAACTGCTTTACGGATTTTATCGCGTTTTTTATTTTAATTTAAATTCCCGACGTTTCGAACCCTTTCCAGCGTTCATGGTCACGGGACAGACCGACGCTGGAAAGGCTAGTTTCATTTACTATGTAGTGATGTCAGAGTTGTTATTGGTTGCTATGGTAAAACCGTGAAATTGGTCACCTGGCAACCGACTTCATCATTTCGCTTTATAACTGTCAGTGTGGGCGCTCTTCGTAAAAATGTTACTCTCAAAATGTTTTCCAAACGTGTCAAAAGAAGTTATAACTTCGAAGTGTGTACGTACGTACGTGTGTAAAAGTGTGTAATGTACTCACGTACGCTCGTAAGAAGTTATACTTCTTTAGTTATAGTTTTTACTTATACTTCATAAATTCAATAAACAAGTAGCAATATTAAAATTTTTAGGAAAGTTACGAAAAGTTTGTCGTCGCTGTGGGTCGGTTCGATTCCCGGCGATTCTAAGCTATACGGCCGATTGTCACACCGACGAAAATGTTAACATGTTTTATCTACGTTGTTTTTTAGCATTTGAAGGAATGCTTGGCGCATCCATTGTCATGTCTTTTCCAGCATACGAACAATTTCGAAATATCGTTTAACAATGATGATTCGAACGAGAGATGTCGCCATTGGTTTTTTTTAGAAATTTAATTTTTTTTATAGCTCTAATCTCTACACTTCAGATTAAACAATCAGTTTAACTTAGAGGCTAAAGCGTCGGGCCACGAATGCCGAAGACGTGGGTTCGAATCCT